TAAGTTTTTCTCTTTTTTTTTGTACTTAAAATATTTTTAATTTAAATTCACATTTGTAATTTTAAATAGTGTCTAAGTTAGTGACGACAGGACCAGTTTACATTTTACCTGGGTATTCACAGAACCCTTATAAACTGGAAAGAAATATAGTATAGCGATTGTGCTCATATTTAATGATAGGGCTTTCCATATTCTGTGTTATATTCAATTTCTAGTTACTCACCCCCGCTAGAATGATATCCAGCAGTTCTGTTCATAGTTAGAGTTCATAGTACATTAAGAATTAGACATTCACATTTCATTTTTCAATCAAGCAAGTTTTGCATCCAGTAACCATCAAAAATAGTTTCCATTTTCGGGCGAATTTTGATAGTTTTAATTTAGACGTCGAAGTTTAGTTTTTATTGATTAGAATAGAAGTTCGATTAAATGTTTTAAATAAAACAGTGAATTTTTATTCTTCATCGAAATCACGATCCAATTTAACCAGTTGCACAATATTAATTTGGCGTGCAACGTACAACGTTTGTACAAAGGTAGTAGAATAAGACAAAAAATGAATAAAAGTATAATTATTTAGCTACAAAATTCTAAATGTAATTTTCAACTCAGTCCCTGCTTAATACACTGATATATTTCATCCAACCAAGTTTTTGTTTTGTAGTCCGTCTCTAAAAAATTCTAAAGATCTTTCTCGAATCGAAATGGCTATAGCCATGTGTAATAATTATTGTTCTATTCTTAAAATCCCTCATGAGGGTGCGAAGAAATGGGAGCCGAACGGAGTCAAATCCAAAGAGCATGACGGATTAGATACAAGAGATGCGGAGTACGTTCAAATTTCAGCTTACGAAGTCTATTTTTCTGACTGATTATTTAATAGCAATGATTGCTGGGTGTTCACTAGTCATTTTGATCAAATTGTTCTTCCTCTTTTTTCTATGTGCCTCATCAGCGGCAGAAACTGGTCATTTGGTGCAAGATGTATCTTTTGTTTTTGGTTTACCGATCTCATACTGGCGAAATTTCAACATAAATATCCACTTATGCTCCGTTCTCTTCTTAACAGTATCAGTACCGTAAACTGCAGTTCGGTGGGTCCTTATGTTTCCTTGTTACGAAATAGTGTCCATTACTTTCAGTCAACCCATAGTATTCGGGAGGACACCTGTTAGATTCGGATCCGTCTACCTTAGTCTAATAAGTTCTTCTGTAGTTTTCTTAGATCACTTATGATTAGACAAATATTGGGGCTCTAATNTTGCTGGGTGTTCACTAGTCATTTTGATCAAATTGTTCTTCCTCTTTTTTCTATGTGCCTCATCAGCGGCAGAAACTGGTCATTTGGTGCAAGATGTATCTTCAGTTTTTGGTTTACCGATCTCATACTGGCGAAATTTCAACATAAATATCCACTTGTGCCCCGTTCTCTTGTTAACAGTATCAGTAACGTAAACTGCAGCTCGATAGGTTCTTATGTTTCCTTGTTACGAAATAGTGTCCATTACTTTCAGTCAACCCATAGTATTCGGGAGGACACTGGTTAGATTCGGATCCGTCTACCTTAGTCTAATAAGTTCTTCTGTGGTTTCCTTAGATCACTTATGATTAGACAAATATTGGGGCTCTAATAATATTCTTTTACTTCTTTTCTGTCTTCATTTCGTCTGTTTCATCCCAACCTCCAATCGCCACCTACCCATTTCCACGATTCCCAAAAGTACACTAAGGTGGACTTACTGCGCTATTCTCCGGCGTAGTCCGGAGGGACAGCGTTAGTAGCCGATGGGAATGAAGCATCCAAAAGCTTTTAGTTTTTTAGCCGACCTTCCTTTATAACTTTTCATTTACTAGAATCACCTATTGCAGGTACACAAAAAAATTGAACTTCTTGAACCTAGTTTAACACATTCTTATTCATCATTTGAGTATTACCAGAGCTGAATTGTTGCTGTCAAGGAAATTATCTTTGAGGACGAGTTTTAAGATTTTTATACCAATGGATAGATCTCAAAATACGTGATGAATGACATTAATTCGTATCAGTAAAAAAGCTGCTTGATGCGAATGCAGATTTATCACCTTGCAAGAGTCTTTTGTCATTTGAAAGCGTTCAGGAAATACAAGAAAGGATGAAAGGATTCAAGCGAAAGGATATTCTTAAATGTAAATAAATGTACACAATACTGTACACACACACGTACACACATACATATATACATGTAAACGTTTAACATACATATGTATGTTTGAAACGGTATCTTATTCACGACCACGCGTTTAAAGTGTGTTTAGAAACAAACCATCTAGGGAAGAACTGGTCTACTGTAATTCTCAAACGTTTGTTGTAAAGTGATTCTTTACCAGCGATTCCAGCGAGTGAGATGGCTGCAAAGCACAACCAGCTCAACAAGAACGAAGCAACACGTTGTAAATAAAGAAACAGGACCGTAATGTCTTTAATTCAAAGAAACATCAACAAAATGATCTCTATTAATAAGCACACCTCCACAAACATGCCATAGTGGAAGAGATTTTCGTATAGAGGGTAACTAACACTTTTAACTGTAAGGATGATTTAACAGGATAACAGAATTTAGTAAAGCAGAACTTTATTACGTCCTTGTAGAATCCTAAGACTAAGAGACCTGAAGAACTTCTAGTTCTAAGTTGTTTTTAAAAAAATAGAATTTAGCAAGGCAGAACTTTGCTAAGCTTTTGTACTATTCCATTCAACAGAATTTGTTATGCTTTGTATCTATTTACTTAAATCGTACAAAAAATTGATGCATTAATTTATAGAACTTCCTAATGAAATGAATTTTGAATTGATTATGTTTTCTGGGGTTTGTTTTGTTTTATATATATAATATCCTTTTCAGTTGATATTGAAATTTTGATAAACATTCTTTTTACAATTACATTATTTAAGTATTTGTCTTAATCTCCCTTTCCCAACCCATGTAACAATTAAGTGACGATTTTTTCACCAAAAATTATAAGCTTTCATCATTATCGTGATGATGTACCACAAAAACGTGGACCAGACTGGTCCAAGTTTTTCTGTGGGTTCCTTGAATCACTTGGACAAATGCCGGTGCAATAATATTCCACAGATAATCTTTCACTCTCTTCTGTCTTCATTTTGTCCGTCTCATCTTTCTCAATCCAATAACCAGCCACCCATTCCCACGATTCCTAAAAGGAGATCGTAAGGTCTTGCTCTCCGGTGTAGTCCGGAGAGACTGTCGGCAACAATAGTAGCTTGTGGGAATAAAGCACCCAATGTCTTATGAAAATCCACCAGGAACTTTCGGAACTTCAATAATTATTTAATCCATAATAGTTTCATTTTAGCTGGAATTCTGGATTTTGCGTTGGTCGCTGGTAATTTTCATTTGCATACATTCATGGTTCTCAATATGGAGACTTTAATGAAGTAAATCAACCACTGATGATTTTTCGCTTTCACTTCAGCCCTCATGGTAAGAGGAAGTTCTTGGGTTCGAAAAGCTCCACGAATCGACTTGGGAACGTTTATCTTTCAATCAGCAACTACCGCGAAAATCTGAAAATGTTCCACTCATTGGCTTTTTTAGGGTACCCTTGTTGGAAAATTTTGGCGTTCTTTCGATTGTGAAATCGAACTGAATTCATTCCTGTGTTGATCTAACAATAAGAGTTCGGATCTTCCCCGAGGCTGTAGAAAGAGGCGGAGGACCTCAGGTACTTCGCTGGCTGTCAGCCTCCGTGCGACACAACTTAATCCAATCCCGCGCCAGACTTCGTTGCCGAAGCACATGTTTTGATGCGTTCCGTCGACCGTAGTCTTCGATGGTAACCCACGGCCGGCCGCTCAGTCAATAATAACGATCCGACGAGAAAGAATTTCTCAGTTTATTTTCCAACTACTGCCGTTATATCCGGTGCTGTGCTATATCAGCTTTTCGTGCTGACATTTCGCCGTCGATTCTATCATCATACAGTTTGAATGTTGGTACTTTTTGTGATTTTTATGCATACCTAAATATCCCTATAGTTGTTAGTAAAAGAATTTTGTGTGAAAACGCGCTTTCCAAGTTCTGAACCGGTCTATGGGACTTTGCTCCAGAGCGAGACAATGTGTTTTGGATTGCTTTTATAAAATACGGTAAGCATTTTTATCTCAACATAGCATTTGTATTGTGGAACTGGAACCATTTATCTTTTAAAGGAAGTCCACAGAAGAATTTTGGGTTGACCTTCTTATATTTGTTTTCTAACTGGATACCTACCCAGTCTTTTAAAGAGGGGAAGGTTCATTATTATGTGTATTATATATTAGATACTATGATAATATTCTCTGAAAATTTTATTATCCTGCTTTTCCTTATCCTGGTCAGTCCAACGGGACAACATTCTCAAATTAAAATACTTTATTTTTAATATATAATATATTACGTAGATGTAAATTATCCTAATTGTATGGCATTTATGGTATAATAATTGGTGCTTCAACTTTTAACTTAAATAAAGTAGTAATTTTGAATGGCAACTTTGTTTAAGTGAATAATCTTGATTTCTTCACCATAAATAAAATTTCATCGAAGCGTCTGAAGGGTACATTCTTTGAATACAAGACAAAAGACCTTCAGCTGAAAGCGACTGACCAAAATGTTATGTAATTTGAGACTGTCCAAAAAGTCGTATCGTAAATAACTGGAAACCTACGTCTTATTGAATATCAATAAGATTTCTGCTACTATCTTTTTATTTACCTATTGCTATTATAGTTTTAATGTAATTTATGAATTGAAAATTTTTCTAATTCTTGAGTTTTTAATAAGAGTAGATGTTGAATTCGCCTCTTTATCATTGACTTAACAATTACCTAGATAAAAATCATAAACATTAAACGAAACGTAATTGTACTGTTATAGCAAATAAATCTTTACCTGACCAATTCAAAGCATTTTGTCAAGAAGTAGTGGTAATTTGGGTGGATTTAAATATGGTTACTTCATGTTACACATACAAATACAAATGAGTTATTGTTTTTTCTTTATTTTCTGAGAACAATGGTTCACTTACATAATCTGCTAATTAAAAAACTAAATTTTAGGAATGCGAATAAAATTTACTGTTTCTTAGAAATTCTCTTGTGGAATCCTGTTAACCTTCATTTAAATCAGAAATCCTTTTTCTTTACCGTCTTTCCGACGTTAACGTCCCTGGCGGTAGAATATCTTGAGAATTTTGATGAAGCATCTCCTAAAAAACATTTTAAACAAAATATTTTAAACTAACAAACCAACAAAATGATATTTATAAGGATAATAACACTGTGACATCTAGAAAATCCGGACTTCTCCAGTCTCTCAGAGTCTTTCAGCGTCTCTGAGAGCGCCTCTCACAGTATTTCTGTCTCTCAGTTATTGCCTAGGTGTTCTTATGGATCTCTCGCAGTCTCTGTATGAGAGACCCGAACGATAGAATTCTTAATTCAGAGATTCGAGTCTCTCACAGAGAGATAGAATGAATAAAACTGAAAAATTGAGAGATTCGAGTCTCTCGTTCAGAGACTGGATACGAAATGAGGATCTCTCTATGAGCGACTCGAGTCTCTCGTTCAGAGACTGGATACGAAATGAGGATCTCTCTATGAGCGACTCGAGTCTCTAGACGCTAAACAGTCTTTTTGACAGTCTCGCTTTCAGAGACTCTGAGAGACTGAACATTTTTATCTCGGGTATATATGTAATATAGTGTAATAATCAGAAAATGACAAATTAACCCTTAGCAAGTCATTACTAATGAATTTTTGTGCCGTCAAACTTCTCCAACTCGAAGCTCCTAAATCCAGCCAGTTATTCTCGAGTTGGAGAAAATTTGTGTTAAGGAATCTTCCGCTTTACGGCTTTATCGTCACATTTTTTAATTTTTTCTTTCAAAAATATAGCTTCTATATACATACATTAGTGTTAGGCCCACCGCTAATAATCCTTACAATCTTTTTTTTTGTTTTTGTGAAAGACGGGAAATCTTCAAAAGACATCCAGTCGTACGGAAGAAGATTGAAGATTTTCCCTCTCAATATAATCTCAAATCACGGTGTCAGACAATATAGGTAGATACTTCATTTTGCGTTGTCTTTTCCTTCGGAAAACTTATAGTCCTAACTTAACCGCTTTTTTTATGTCCTGTTAATAGTGCCGTAATGAAAATTTATGGTACTAATAGTTCCGTTTAAAAACTCGAGCCATTTATTATTAGGTACTGCTACTGATTTTTCGAAAGATAATTAATATGTATTTCAAAAAAATTACAGATTACAAAACTTTTAATGATATTTTCTTGCAGATCTAAATTTTAATAACATTTTAAAATAACAAAATTGAAAAAATTAACTTTGTCAGGCAGGCACATTCAGAATTCTGCATTAATATAAAATCAATTATATTTTCAATTTGCAGTAAGTACTCTGTATGAGTTTTAGTCATTAAAATTATAGACTATAGACAATTCTACTAGTAATTGAAGTGAACATTTTCCTGGTTTTATAATTTTGGACTATATATAAAAATGATACATATTTCCCTTATTAAAAAAATTTGGTGTAGAAGGAAATATGTTTCAGTTCAACGACCTGTTGATGCGTTAAAAAGCCAAATCTCCTCCCGAACGACTCTAAACATTAAGTAATTCCATATGCCATTAAATTCCAACTAAAAATACCATTAATTAATCGTTGCACACTTCCTTTGACCTTTTTCCAAGAATGGTGGTTCACGCGTAAACTGTTTACTATTCGCAACATCACCGGAGTAAAGTACTTACAATACACACATACACACACAAACAAACATGTACTCATCGATAGAGTACTCGAGGTGGTTGCGTAATTGCAAGGTCACATATGGACGTATAACGTATACACACATGTAACACACGACCATCGCTATATGCATGCACGTATGTATGAGCTTTCGAATGAATAAGGCCGTAAAAGAACGGTAAGTAATTTGTAAACAAAGTGAGCTTTCTGACCAAGACTAGTACCACCGCTGACCGCGTCGAGGCACGGATTCCATTTCATTCGGTAGTACGATTCGCTCTTATTTGCGTACATATTCAATTTGTGAACAAAAATTTTCAAATAAGCTCGAATGTTCAAGGAATTTCCTTATCAAAATACTGCATACAAGATGACCAAACCCTAACGACTCATTTTATGGTAAGAACGAGGACCACTATTTTTGTGAATGAAATGTCTGATGAGAGACTAATAGGACATTCGGTTTTACGTTAAGATGCAATAAACTGGATACAATAGTTCATTGATGAAAATGAGTACAAGTAACCTCAAGTGTGAATAAAACCATAAATGACCGACTGGAAATTAGTTCAGTAACGATTCTGATCCGGATTAGGATTGCCTGAAGACTGATCAGGGATAAATCAGGCTTCCTGATCCGGATATGATTAAAAATTGTCACGTCATATATGATCCGCACAGGATCCGTTTAAAAGATCCATACCGGATCCGTTCTAAATATATATGCTAGAATCATTTTAAATATCCATGATGGATCCATTTCAAAGATCAACGCCTCATCCATTCAACAGATCCATGCCCGATCTGGCCAAAAGATCCATACAGAATCCGTTCAGAGGATCAGAATTTTTTGTTTTCACATTAATTTGACATTAAATAATTAATAATAATTTAATCATAAAATTAATAATAAATTTATTGTTTGATAAGCAATATTACATACAGAATGGATCAGATAAAAAACTAAATTCTGTATTATGATTCAGTTCAGGACATCGGATACAATCTTGCTTTAAACAACCTATCAAAACCGTAACAAGATTCGTAGTATTAGATTCTTATAAGGAACTGATCATATGACTGGATCAAGGGATAGGGTACTATACTTTGACCAGAAACTGTTCAGATGGACAGATCGAGGGAAAGGATACCATACTTTGATCAACCCCTGGACCAACGGATAGAGTTCTGTACTTTGGTGAGAAAATGATCGGACAGCTGGATCAAGGGAAAGGTACGCTAATAATTTCCTGATTAGGTGACCAAATCAAGGGATGAAGTACTATACACTGATCAGGAACTAATCAGATTGTCGTATTACGGAAAATCTGATCCGGATCTGACCGTAATCCGGGTTCTCTGAACTAATTTCCAGGTGGGTGAACCTCAAAAAATCCTTGGAAGAATATTTTTCAGAATAGTTACAGATCATCCACTGAGTACAGAATCCATTCTCAAATCAAACTAAACCATCAATGTTAACTGTGTTGGAGTATGGGAATTGGTTGGATATTAAGAATTCATCTTCTCTATAACAAAAGTTCGAATCGCCTGATTTAAATTTGAATTATTTTTGAATCTAATTTAGGGATGAATCGTTGAGAAGGCTAGCATGATTACAGACATGAGACGAGCTTTTCAGCTTAAAACGAATTGAGAACTAGACTGGATGACGCTCCGGATATTCGAATTCAATTGTCGGACATTACAGCTAATTTTAATGCTATTATACATACAAGTAAAAATATGCAAAACATTCATTTATCACATTAAATAAATGCAATAAACATTTTGAATTTAAGAATAAAATAATTTTAAAAAATACTACAAATGGCACAGTAAACGCCATCTGTATCATGATGCTACATTTTCCACTTCGAATTATTTTATTCGATTAAGCTAACGTGCCTATCACGTTGAGGTTGGCTACGCCGGGATTCGTTTTTCAGCAAGTAGATATCCACACAAGTAGACCTTGTTAAAAAATACGTAATCCTAAAATGTAGCATCGTGCTAGAGATGGCATTTACTGCGCCATTTGTAGTATTTTCTAAAACGCACTGTTAAGACAGCAGGTAAAAGTTGGTCTGTGTTCTGTCGGAGATGCCTGCGACGCGCTGATGAGATCCAAAAAGATCGAAATCGCGATCCGCGTCTGGCAGTTTCGACAGAATACCGACCACTTCGAATTATTTTAATAAAATAATTGTCAATTTATTGTTCTTTTGTCAAGATGGAGTTCCACCAAAAAAAGGTGGGCCTGTAAGGGTTCCGGTATACATTCCATGTAATGAAATCGAAGGAATCAACAAGTCAGTGCATCATGAGTTGTAAGCTAAACCATTCACAAACTCGAGAAATGTCATGTTAATATCATAATAGAGCTTTTCATAATAAAAGGGTTTCGTTATAGAGAATTTTTGATCTAGTTTTAGACATTTAAAAACGGCTATTCGATAGCCTTAAAAACTTCTTTGTAATTCATACAAACGAAAATGTATGAGTTATGACAAAATTCCATCTTATGCCTAATATAATCTTTGACGTTGCAGCATCATATTGATTAATTATTTTTAGTGTGATCCCAAAATTTGAAACATCTTGTTTATTTGATCATTATGTCAGAGAGGTATTAGCTTTTCGATAGTTTTTAATGCCTGCTTATACTAAAAAAGAATTGAAAAACAACTGTCACTCATAATTTATTTCGTTTTAAAATATCATCACCGTGGCGCGACATGTGACAGGGACACTAGGAAGTGCCAGTGAATACAAATTACAATGACAAGTTTTGCAACTTAACCAAACATGCCAAAGGAGGTTTGGTATGTCATGTAATAAACGTGCAATAAATGCTAAATTGAATGTTAGACGTTTAAAAAATTTTAGTACTTTGACATGCGGTGTCTATAAAAAAATCTTAATTTTGTTGCCAAGAATTTTAAAAATTGCCTTCTCATAAATTGAGTACAAATTCTATTTAAGGATCACGAATCAAAAAATTATTAATTCACATATGTATATGACAAGCTGCTTGATTGAGATTTTTCCCAATTAAGACAAACAGTTTCATTATTGAGACGTAAATATACAGGGAAGGAATTGTTCAAAACGCCAAAAATCGGGGCGATGTCAATTGGCCCATCTGTTTATTGTAACAAAACTGTTATTACTATTATTCTCATTTATCAATTCTCTACATCCTTCCCTTGCTTTTTCTTTTACACCCTTTTCTAAAACATACCTTAAGATCTCATTCTTTTTTCCATATATTCTGCATTTTCTTTCCTCGTCTTTCATTCACTACCTGCTTCCATTTCATTAATTCTGCATTCTAAATCTCGATATTACCGCTATATCCTTTCTTTTCCTCAAATTTCCCTTTACCACTGCTTCCGTAGAAATCCTTTCAATACATTAATTAAAGTGATTCCTCTGTAGTTCTTTATATTTACCCTGTCGCCCTTCTTAAAAATCACTCCACACTTCCATTATCGTAGGTATAGTGATAATGTAATTTTTGTTTTTTTTTAGTGATTTAACATATGCTATTAGTTTTTTCATAAACCTGTTGCGGGAAATACATTTATTTTAAATGAAAGATAAAAGGGGATATCAAAATTAGAAGATTAGAAATAGAAAATTCACACTACACGGAATGAATCCATGCCGTTGTGTACACACCCACCCTACTCCCCATATATTTCTCCATTCGAGGCGACTTTTACCTTTTAATTGAAACAGCTTCTGTCAAACGCAATCTTATTGAAGGTATTTTGCTATTGATAGAAACAGTATAGAAAAGGATCTACTATATTCCCATTTGGTATAACTTAAGACATAATCTTTGAGGTTGCGTAATCAATTAGACTATGAGCTCTTACATTTTCGGTCTTCTATACATCTACTTACATAAATGCTTTGTGAAAGAAAAAGTGTACTCAACTTTTCCCACCTACTCTATCAAGTGGGGCGCCTTTTGATAACCTACTCAAATGGCAATAAAAACGTTTTAGAAACTGTTACTTTTAACGCTTATTATATACTGAAATATTTTCTTTTAACTTCGTTTTATTAAGGTATCTCTGCGTCTAAATCTTCGGTACGAAATGATTCAAAAAATCCTGGATGCAGGTCAGTATCTACTACTACTTACTTTGACAATCAGTGAAAACCATAACGACTACTGTAGCTACAATAAAAATCAGTTAGAATTATTTTTCTCTACCTTTTGCAAACAAAACGACACAAAAACATAGCAAAAATTTTTGGTGACTACCTTCAATTATTGCCTATTTCTTATTTAATGGTAGTAAATTTATGCTGTTCGTTTCTTGGTATTCTTTATATTTACTGTATATTAAGGCTAGTATCAATAATTAGGACTATTCTATTAAAACAACATCTGTTTGAAAATTTTGAGTCACCAGTTTTAGTAAGGTTCCATTCTTCGGTCGCTCTTGTCCATTGCTCCATTTCAAAAATAGTTCGGCGACAAATTCGAGTGGCGTCCAACATGAAAAATCCGCATCAGGCATCCATTTCCTATTCATAGGAGTGTCCAGAGTTGTTGGTAGAATAGCTACACTCAAAGCTCCCTTCGGGAGTCCGCTCTTTTCATTGGAAAGGCTCTTGGCCATGAACTGGACTGCAGCTTTTGAAATTCCATATGCCAACATACCAGGCGTGGAATCTAGAGCAGCTTTTGCTCCTGTTAGCGACAATATTCCATCTTCTTTTAAAAATTTCGATGCGACACTCGCAGAAATTAACGATGGATTGACACTTTGCTGCCACATAAGTTCGCAGTTTTTGACTAAATCTTTTTCTGCGTTCCCTCCGATCCAACCTCCAGCCACACAAAAGATCGAATCGAATTTTTCACCATCTAGGGCATTCTTTAATCCTTCCAAAACTTTTTGTTCTTGTGACATTGGACTTTCACATTTATCAACGATAATGTTGACATCTGCTTCTGGATTTTCTTTTGTGCTAACGGAAGCCACCCACCAGCCGTTTGATTTGAAATGCGAAACGCATTTACTACCCAATGCCCCCTTTCCTCCATATATTAAAACACGTCCACAACTCATTGTAATTTCTTACTCAATTTGTGGTAACAGTTTTGACATTTGATTTTTTTTCTTTTGTTTTAGTCTAATAATTAATCTTAGATATCCCTCTAACGTTTATTTATATTATAGACTTGAAATTAAATTCAAAAAATGATGTAAAATCGCCAGAGCAAAATAATTTCAAATTCCTAGTTGACATTTCTCGCAAAGGTTTATTATTGTCGGGAGAACCTCAATATGCCAAAGGGATGAAATTGACCAAAGGGGAAGTAGTGATTCCTTAATCGAAAGCATCTCCAATGCAGTTTCTCGGTCCAATCTTACAATCAATACCGAAAAGTTATTTTTCACAACTCAACTTAAGTTGATAGGCAGAATAATGACCTGGACTGTAATTATTCATTAATAAATATATTTTTGCGTAAATTTCGCATTTTTATCAATTTTTTCTAACGTTCCTCTTGCAACGTGCGTCAGTGTTTAAAATCTCTAAATTTCGTAACTTATTTATGACGAAAAGTGGGTTGATAACAAGTAAATCATATACAGTCGAACCTGGATAACTGAGAGCTCAAGGGACCGCGGTCTGTTTCTCTCTTATAGAGGTTTCTCACTAACCCGAGTTTCTAGCTTACAGAGTTACAGGAGGAATTTGTCTCACTTATAGAGGTCTATAAAAAATACCGTTCGACAACACATTGAGTTTTCCTTTAGACATTATGAGGAAGTACAGGACCTTTCTTCGCAACTGCTTTTATGAACTGACTGTAATAAGATTGATAACCAAGTCGGTACGCATATTTGGCTCTAATAAAATAATAAAGACTTACTCGGTCATTCGCAGATTTGGTCATTCGAATGAAATAAGAGTCTCTTGAAATTTAAGTGCGAGTCACAAAATAGCAAAAGTAAACTGTCTCTTATAGAGGTATAGACAAGTAGCAATCTCACTTAAAGAGGTTCACGCATGAAAAATGACTGTCACTTATATAGGTTTTAGAAGGGCAAAATGACGGGACCTGGCAAATACTCTCGTTAATAGAGTTTCCTCGCTTACTCAGTTCTCATTTATCCAGGTTCGACTGTATCTCTTTTAGAAATTTTTTATTATTAAACTAACGAACTAACTACCAATGATTTGCTCATGAGACTGGTCGTCGCGAAGTTCATACCAAAATTGCTCAATTTTCGACCAAAAACAGCATCACATTAACATTGCTAAGGAACTGTTGGACTCTGTCCATGGATTTATGGTTATGACGTGGAAACCAAAGCACAATCATCCATCCGCCAAGTTAGGTCGAATGTGAAGGTTTTGCTTAAAGTTTTCTTCGAGTGTAAGGGCGTGGTGCATCATGAGTTCTTGTCACAGGGTAGAACGGTCAATAAGGAATATTACCTGTAAGGTATGCGCAATTAGCGCGAAGCAAATGCCAGAAACGCCCGGATTTGTGGAAGAAGAAAAATTGGCTTTAGCACCATGATAATGTGCAAATTTGGCCAAAAACAACACACTAATAATCTCGCAGCCACCGTATTCCCCAGATCTGGCTCCCTGTGACTTTTTCTTGTTCCTGAAACTGAAGAAGCCCACGAAAGGACGACGCTGCGCTACGATTGAGGAGATAAAGAGAGTATGGAAGGAGGAGCTGAACAAGACCACAAATAATGATTTTTTTGGAGTGCTTCGAGGATTAGTGTATAATATCCAGTGGGGATTACCTCGAAGCAGACAAAATAGATATTCATCATCATCATAAAGTCGTCAGTCCTAAGACTAGTTGGACATACACCTCCTGAGCTAATCTTCATGAATAGATAAATAATTTTTGAAGAAACACAAAATTCGCGATACTTTTTGAACACACCTCGTACGTACGCACCTAGAAGTTTGTAGGTATGAAACTTTCGGTGTGCGAATCCGACATGGCCTTTTTTTTTTCTTGAGTACAATTTAATTGCGTCATTGTTTGAGCAAAATCTGTTTCGGTCGTAATTAGTACGACTAGTCACGTACTCTTTTACTTATTTGAAAGGCGCATTCAGCCAAGCAAACCGGCGTGATTTATGTATCCTTTTAGAAAAGTCTTAATGCACACGCAGGATGTGCTCATGCTTAAACGGATTATGATTTACATACGAAAATCACGTCCGAGGCTGAAGCTTCTTCTTATTCTTATATGTTTTGTTGTTTGACAAGTGCGTATCAGTAAATCATCCTTTATTGTGTCGCCACCTTATAATACACATAAACGCGATAATTCACATTTAATGAGACTGTCTGCATACTACATACGTTCTGTGTCCACCACATTACCAAGAAGAATCTTACACTTTGAGGTTTTTACTTTTCTTTTATGTCATTATTTACGTATGTACTTTGTTGTTAGAAATTTTTAGCAAGTTTTAGACGACAAGTAACACTAAATTCTAGAAATTTCAAAGACGTGCCCTGTAGCATAAAACAAGCAAAAATGTTTAATTTATTAGTATGTTATTATTAAAACACGAATACTATTTTACAGTAAAACATTTACAAAAATAATAGGAATTATTTAAAATTTTTGCTTTTTTTTCTAAGTATTGCTCCCATTTTCATAAATGCGGCATTTTTGCGACCGATCGTCTCTAGTTGTGTGTAATAAATGATCACTGTTAACGTCAAGAAATTGAAATAAAACACCACTGCTTAATTTCTTTTTTTATTTAGATTATTCTCGAGGAGGGGAAATCTTCAAACGACACCCCCTGAAGGGAGGTAGTGTCGGATTATTACCGACTAAAACCCCTCCTCGAGTGGGGAGATAAACCCTGAGGGTTACTCATCCCCAGAAAGAGAATGGAAGGTTGGGATTTGGGAGAGGTTGGAATGGTTAAAAAAACTGCTTAAACCAACTCTCTTAACTTTTGTAGCTCAATATCTTGGCAATAAATTAATTTAAGTTTGTTCAGATTTCCTAACAAAAATATTTAAAAACTATGTAGCTGTTGTCTGGTACTTTTTGAAAAAATGCAATTTAAATGGTCTAGGATTATACACGCTAACTTTCTCGTCGGGATTTTATAGTTTGTGTGCAGGCGTTTGAAGAAGATTGAAACTTGAAAACAAGGACACAAGGAGTAATAAAAAACCGTCCAAGGAGGAGACAGGCAGTTTTTCGGAGAGAATTTTAGAAATGTAGTACATTTTTTCTTTCATAGCGAGTAGGCGCTCTCGTATCGTTTCCAATATTCCAATTAAATAATTTGGGAAATCTGCACATAAACGAGTTATGTGTAGGTTAAGGTTATCTGTATTAAGTCTTGTATATAGTGTTGTGTTTTCATAAATATAAAGCTATAACACTACAACAAGTCCATTGGTTTATTCTGAGCTTACGAGATGATATGTAGCAAATTGAACTTTTCGTATGAAAATGAAACCACTCTCGAAGGATATGGTAAAATCCTTTTTTTAATATATAGTAAATGCGATTTCTCACCCGGCAGGCGCTTTCGCCCCTGAAACGGCAACCTCCCATTTTATTGTCACTCTCATCTGCGGCTCTGGCGAGAGGGAATGCCTTTGGCGTGTAACGTATTATTCATAATTGATTACTTCTACTCCTTTTACCGTTTTTAAACAAATTAGTATACCTAAATTTGATAAGGATTTTATTTCAGCGGCAGCTCGTGAAAGAATGTAGATGAGGACGGTCTTTATTGGTAATCACTTAAGTAGCCGTCGTTATTTTTATTTATGTACCAAAATTATACGATCAGTTCGTGTATACATATGTACCCATACCGTATACAAATAGTGGTAAACACAACGTGCAAATACACTTCTAGTATTTGCTTTCAATTTATCAGTGGGTACACATTACTACTTAGCACAAATTTCAAGTCTCCTTTAATATTTGCTATGAAATTTAATAATTTCCATTATTATAACCTTGTGCCTGCTGTTTTAATTTAAAATTTTAAATTTTCAAACATTTTATCTGATTTAATTTCTCTTTATTTCAGGCATTGAACAAAGACTGGACGTATATATACAAAATAAGTTTTTGATCTAGTTCATTTTATGTACATTTCATTTGATATTATTGAATCTTGCAGATATTTTTTATACTTATTACTGGAAACTATTTGTTATTCAAATAGCCCAACACATGTAGTAACAAATTGGGAAAGGTATGGATATCGTAATTATACAATATCTTAAAGTTAATCGTAAGTAAAACAAAATAATAAGTATTAATATACAATAACTGTGATAACAGAAGTTTTTTANTATTTATCGTATTTCTATTTAAATAATGTGTAAATTAAATATTCATTAGAAAACTACGAGCTGTTTATGTTACATAATGTAAATCAGGGGAGGAGTGGCGGGTGGCGAACCTACTGTAACGGTCCTGTTACATGGGGAGGGGGGGTCAAGGTTTATGTTACGTAACGATTTTAGATCAGAAGAGTTGGGAGCTCTGTTCTGTTAGTTCGAAAGATATACATCGAACAAAAATTCGTATTGATGACTTTTTTTCATATTTCTCATAGAACAAAAGTTCTGTGCGCCCAATGGCAAAGAGGCATCAAAATTCGCCGAAATATGAATGATATGGAAAAAAGTTTCAATAAAAGTTTTTCACAATTCCATTTTGCAAAAAAA